TTAATTCAATTCAATCCAAGTAAAGGTTAAAAATAGTTTGGGCTGGGGATTTAGCTCAGGGGCACAGCACCTGCCTGGCAAACGTGAGTTCATGAGTTCGATTCCTGGTCCTGAAAAAAAAAAAATAGTTGTCCTCTTGAATAATTTGTGGGCACTTCCAATGAATTACAACAGTATATATAGCACATTTGGCAACAATTATTACCAGTAGCTGTGTATTCCTGGGGAGTGTCCAACCCTTCCAGGCCTCAGCTCCTAAGCTATAAGATGGAATAACAATCTCTATCCCCCTAGCATGTCGATAAGAATACATAAGATAATCTGTCTTGGGCCTTTATCTCACTAATTCAAGAAATTTCACAATCATCATTCGTGGTAATGTTTTTGAAGTATATTTCAGGAAGTGAAAGTCATTGCTTGGGATATAAAATTTACTAGTCTAAATATAATTAAATATCTAATTACTGTGTATTGAAAACTCAATAATATTCAGGAAATACCTCATATAGTCTCAGATGCAAAGTTTTTAAAAATAATAAGAATGATAACTCATTTACATTTAGAGAAAGAGAAAATAGCAATATGTGAAATATATCCACAAAGGAAATCTGCATTTTTTAAACACAAGAAACAGTCTCCATCCACTGAACTGAAGATGATTCCCCTGAAGAGTTTACTGTGAACTGAAATTAAAGAAACAAAAAACAGTTGCTGAAAAGAAAAAACATTAAGTTTAAAAATATATCCAAAAGTCAGATAGGGGCTAGCAATGTGCTAGCTTGGAAAATGTTAAAAATATAGTCATCTAAAAGGATAAAAGAAGTAAATTATGAAATATTATGTGCATTGCCATGACTTCTGGCTCCATTTCTCTATGATTTCTGGTTCACAGGGAAATGTACAGTGTAGGGTTAAGCATGACAGTTTAATACTAGCTTTGTCACAAGTCTGCAGCATGGTGTTGTGAAAATTATTAAAATTATATTTCCTTTCCAGCTTTCTTTTCATCTTTTTGAGACAGGGTCTCATTGTGCAGTTTAGGCAGGCCTTGAGCTCACATATGTAGCCTAGGCTGGCCTCGAACTCGCAATGATCCTCCTGCCTCAGCCTCTCAAGTGCTGGGATTACAGGCAGGCGCCACCATTCCTGGTTCTTTTCCAGCTTTTAAGACACTTTGCATTTCAGAAGGACACTCCTAGGACACATTTGATAATGTCTGCTTAATTCTTGTAGGCCTAGGATTGGCAGAGTGTACATGTTTCCCTCCAGATGCCTACTGAAGAATAACGTGTCCAGCATCACTACTTTCTTCATCTGCAATGTCTTTTGTCATGGCAAAGGAATTTGTATTCAAAACTTGACCCTGGCACTGTAGTATGGTTACAGTAAAAGGATACAGGAAAGGAGTACTTTTTCTATATATATCTTATTATTCCTAGGAATGTTTATATCATTCCTTGGCCTGTCCACACCTCTTTCTGAACATGCCTCAGGAGACTGCATGGAGGTTTGCTTCCAAAAACTAAAACCACAGTAAAGCCAAGCCAAACTCATACATCTTTCAGGCAGTTTATTTTTACAATAATTTTTTTTTTTTTTAGTCTGGGGTGGTCTCTAGAGAAAGACTTCAGCATGATTGGGAATACATGGAATAGAATTGTGGACATTAGAGTCAGAATCAGGAAAGAAAGAAAACACCAAGAGGGAAAACAGCATTAAAGCACTAAAGCAAGAGTGAAACATTCAAGGTCATGGTCTTTTTATCATGAAAGCACGCGTCAGCTTAAGGACTGTCCATAACAATCATAGAAACTCCCTTATGGTAGGATTTCTCAGGGTCTTTGGGTAAAGCAAGCAGCAATTGTGAATGCTGAGGGCAGAGAGGAAGAGCATTTCCCAGTGTGAAAATTTGACTTGGGAAAGATGATTCACCAGAAGGAAGTTATTAAGACCTTGATTCTTGGTAGAACACAGTTTACATTTTATTTTTCTGTCCTAGGGGTACTTTCAGGAAGGATCATCTATTCATTGTTTTTGTGAATATAATAATTATAAAATGATGTTTTAACATCTAACATCTAGGCTTTTTCTTTCCAGTAAGGTGAGAAGTTAAACTTACTCTTTTTGGTCTTTTGGGAAGAAATTCAACATTTTTCTTATCTCCAGTATTATGCAAGGGAAGACAGATTTGTAAAGGGTTAAATAATTTGGTTTATTTTTGTTGTTCTTTTCTTCCTTTGCCTTTTTTTCTCATTTCTAACTTGCCATTGTAATATCAGTCATAAAATGTGAGGGTTTTTATTTTTATACGTTTAAGATGTATATTCGTATAATTAAGTTTGAGTAGGGGTAGTCAAGCATATAACAGACGTATTTTATAGAATAGACATTCACTCATATATTCAACGTTACTTAAGCTATTTCAATTCATGTTCTACTTGGTGGATGGCTACATAGGTAGTAACCTTTTCCAAAAAGAAGCCTATTTTCTACAGAATAAGACATAAGCTAAAACTGTGTGTGTGTGTGTGTGTGTGTGTGTGTGCACGCGCATGTGTGTGTTTTGCTGAGATTATACCCAAGACCTCACTCATGCTGGACAAATGCTCTATCTACTGAGCTACATTCTCATCCATGAACGATAAGATATTTAATGGTAATTTATGAAAAAATAAAGCTACCATGGTGGTAAATCTGCATTTGCACTTGTGCCTCTGGAGGCTACTGTAGGACCATGCACATGATTAATTCTCTTGGACTACTGAACTTTTAAATTCTTAGAGTTTTGAGGAGGATGTGTAGCATAACCTGTATTCTTCGATAGAGCTTGTTTTTTTATATTCTGCTGATCTAAAATACTCTTAAAGTCAAAGTCATAAGAAAACAATTCTTTTTCAGGAAAATTTAAAGTAAACCACATAGGTGAGCTCATTACAGGAAATGAGTAGAAGCAAATGTTTTGTATTTGTTCACAACACAGCGTCTTACACACAACAATGTATAGAAGCAAGAAGGGCTGGGAGATGTATTTAGTTGTTTTTGTACTTTACTAACAGAATTACTGCTAAAAAGTCAATAGATTTTTGAAAATCACCCTGTAAAATTTAATTTTAGATAACTCTGTACTTTCATGAACTTTCTAGTTTAGGTAGTTGTAGTTTTTTAAAAAAAAATTTAATTTTTTCTTCATTGAAATGTTTCCATATTTATTAAGCCCTTAAAAGTTCTACTTTCAGTACTGGAAATATATTAGTGAACAAGATAGATGTGACTACTGTTTTAATGTAGTGTCATTTGGGAGGGGAAGAGACACAAAAACAAACCTAAGTCAGGACATATTAGCTAATAATATCATCAAACACGTACTCATAACAGTGTAAGTCACTCACAAGCTAGAGGTGGACTCAGGAACCGCTTCCAAGATTGTGCCATTTAAACTGAAAGAAGAGAAACAGGAAGTAGCGTGCCAGTAATCCTTCCGTGGACCCACAAAGGGAGAGGCAGAGGCAGGCATGACATAAGGTACTGAGACAGGAACAAGCTAAGGCTGCTGTGAGTAGAGCACTAAAGCAAGGGGAGAATAGTGGAGAACACAGGAAAAAAAGACTTAGGTAGGGTCTATATGAAAAACAGTTTTGTAGGATTTTGATTCAAGTGCAGTAAAGCTATTGGAATTTTTCAAGTGACGAAATTAGTAAAATTGCCCTTATTAACAAAGAACAATCTGTGAAAGATTTGCATTTTGTTATAAATATAATGCAAGCTATTGATAGACATGATTATTAAGACAAATAAGATTCACATTTCAAAGCATATCAATACATCTACTCCGTGAGGTTTTCACTTACTTCACCTGCTAGACTGTAAATTCTAGAGCATGTAATCACATTTCCTATTTCTACACTATCTTTACCACATATCTCTTCTCCTTCAGAGACAGCACTTAGTGCACATCTTTGTGTCTAGGATGCATTATGTATAGGACCTGCTGAGAAGGAAATGAATTTGTGTTTCTTTAATCTTTCTGCTTTGGAAGCTGACCGGAATTTTCAATGCAGTGCAAATCCTAGGTCACAAAGAGATAGGTTGGGAGGTTTCATTCCCTGTTTTATTTTTATCACAGTGTTGGAGGCTACCTGCAGTCCACTGGTCATCCAGTCCAGTGGTCGTCTTCCTTCTCAGATACAGGCAGTCATTTAGATCCAGATATATAGGCGGTAGGCCTGCTCCAGAGGTGCTGTGATTAATTACAGGTCAAACATATGAGAATAGAAGCGAGGAAAGGATGTTGGCCATGGTTTTTGTTTGTCTGTTTTATTTAATGATGTAAAATTTGAGATGGCTTTTATCCTTCTTTAAGAAATTTATGATTATAATCTGCTATAATAGATAATAATCTATTTTTATAGGTTACAATAATTTATAATCTATTTTGGGATATGGATCAAATGAATGAATAACCTTATAAAAGAGAGGCATTCAACAAAGAAATCTTGAAGACAAATAGTAAAATGATAATTTCTGATTACTGCTATATATTTGCTTTTTAGAAGAAACACATATGGAACTCAGGGTGGAGGGCCTGTTATGTAAGTTCTCATTTTTTGCTAACGGTATGAAAAGCTGTTCCTTGGTAAATTTCAGTGAATCTCAGGCTCTGCTTCAGGCATTTTTCAAGAGAGTGTCTCAGAATTAAAACTCTGACAAGCATAATTAAAACAACCGTATAAAGATGGTTGTGATGGGTATGGTGATTCAGTGCAAAGTAGGAGGGCAGGCGGGTATAGAAAAGGCGGGGCTGTGAACAAATCTAGTTTTGATCAAGAGGCTTACTTGAGCTTGCAGACCACACTTCTGGATGAGAGTAAGTTCTCAGATGCTGACCACTGTCCTGCCATAGCTTTTCCTGTGCAGCACTGACTCCACTCACTTGCTGGCTGCTGACTTAGACCCAAGAGGGAGCAAGAACCAAGTTGTGTTTTCTGTTTTGTTTCCTGCAGAGCTCAGCACTCCTCTTTCTGCTTGGCGCCCGGTGGCCCTGACGCTGCTGACTTTGTGCCTGGTGTTGCTAGCTGGCTTGGCTGCCCTGGGCCTTGTGTGTAAGTCTGCCCTCTGCGGTGGGGAAGGGTGCTCCTAGTTGTAAGATTTGTCTGGGAGAAGGAATACCTATTACGAAATATTTTTTTTTCCTTTAGTTCTGGAGCCTGGGAATAATTCAATGTTCTCTTTTTCTAGTAGCAACTAATTAAATGATGACTAGTAGAAGTACTAAAATGTAAAAATCACTTGCCAACTTGAATGAGACATCCTAAGAAGGGTTTTGTCTATTTACATGTCAGTGTTTAAGTTCATGCGTGCTTCATGGTGCTCCCAGACCACCGGAAAGAAGTGAGAGTGGTATTTGCCCTTAGTCTGCATGGCTTGGTTGGCCAGCGCAGACAGAAGAGGTTTTGTTTATATCCACACTCACAATGCAAGGAGAATAGATAAGTTCTTTAATCACTGTGATATTTTTCAAAAAGGCCATGAAATTGAAATCATTTAGCAGAAACTTGTGAAATAAGAAAGATTTCTTGTGGAAGTTTTTAAATTTGAAACTAACATGGCAAGTTCCTTAAAGAAGGAAGTGAGTGGGTATAGGAACTGCTGGAGTTTGTGCAGAGGTTCATCAGACTATAGCCATATTACACTGTGCATTTCTCAGAACTGCGGGGTATTCATGCTTAATGGGAAAAAGAGGAAGTGGGTAAGCTTGCCTCATTGGGTTAGGACTGTACAGCCATGTTTTGTGAACAGTGGAAGACCATTGGGGGCAAAACGCCACAAAGAAAAGCAGACTTTTTAAATGTCAATCTTAGGTTTGTATGGCATCTCAGACAGATGCTGGGGTATCCTTGATTCTTTTTAGTCCCTGCTTTAGGCTGTTGTGTACCCGTGTGCCAGGAAAAACCCTTTACTCCTCAAATCCTCCTTTTTGCCTAAAAAATGGGTTCCTATAGGAAATGTTAAACCTTTTGTTTATGGGATCTTAAATTTAAAAATAAAAACTTACTTTATTTGTTCTCCAAACTCCTTATTTCATTTTGACATAACTATTGTTTTGCAACCACCATTTTTCTTAGCTATTTAACGCAACTTAGGGTTCATTAGGTGTTTCTGCATTTAGGTTTGGAAAACGGAGGTTCAAGCCTGTGTTGAAATTTTCTACTTAAGTGACATTAAGGAAGTTACTTACTCTAATTAATTATGCTTGTAAATTTGTGAAAAAGATGGAAATAAAATTTACTGTTTTAATAACTGAATGAGCAACAACATAGGACACAGTGACAATACCCAGTGTACGGAACAATAGACTTGTGGTTTAGGTTGAGTGATGGTTGAGTGTTCATAAAAATAAGGTAGTTTGGGAATTTACTTCTGAAGTTAGGGGCTACTAGTATGATTCCATAGTTTTAGACAGACTTAGAGAAATTAATTTGCCCACGGTGGTATAGTTTGTTATGTATGTGCTACAGTCTGAACTTGAGTATAGCAATACGAGAATGCGAGGTCTGAGATCTTCATTGTTGTACCTTTTGGTCCTCTTCGTAAATGAAAAACAGAAATAGAAGTTGAGAAATAGGCCGCCCCGTCTGACTTGGTCCCTTGGTTAGTTTTTCAGTTCTATCAGCTCTCCAACATTCAGCAAGCCCTCATCACCGAGAAGGAAGTAAGGTTGGGGAATCTGTCCCAGCAGCTGCAATCTCTTCAACTTAAAAACAAGAAGCTCGCGGAAACTCTGCAGCGCGTGGCTGAAAAACTCTGTCGTGAGCTCTATAACAAAAGTGGAGGTAAGTGTGTCCTCGTCTCTGTGCCCCTAGAATATCTGCCAATTTAGAGCTGAATTCCCATCACAGAAACTGGAAACTGTGCATTATTTAACTGGCTTTCTTGTAAACTCAGTAAAGAGTTTGAGCTGCAAGATAACAAATGACCAGTTATTGGGATGGTGCAGTTTACACATGTCTGTGTTACAGCACATGAAAGGATTCTTCAAATGCAACATTTGAAATCACAGAAACAAGTAGCTTTGAATAACCAATATAATACTACAAATAAGTAAATGTAAGATTTTGTCTCAGTTTACCATGTACATATGCTTACAAATCCATCCCAGTCAGGAAGTTAATAAACTTACAACAGTAGTTCTCAAGCTTGAAGGATTATACAAGGATCAAATAAAAAATGCAGATAACCTTCATCAAATGACAGTTATTTTAATTCTGTATTACTTAGCTAAAATCAAATATAATAATGACCATAGATAATGGTAATGTTATACTTTGATTTAAATGTCCTGCTGAAATGACGAAAAGTATTACTTCAGTCTCCTTCTCTCTGTCTACCTCTCTCTCTCTATGTCTTACTATTCCCTCTCTCTCTCTCTCTGTGTCTTACTATTCTCTTGACTTTCTTCTGTTCATGATGGCTCACTTTATTAAAGTCAGCCTTCTCTTTAGCTCTCCTTATACATGTGTAAGAGGCAACAACAGTTTCAAAACTTCATGATTTATCATTTGGGAGCTCCGCAGTAAAATGATCTCTTTTTCTTCTTCATACGCACATACCACTTTCCGTCCTCAGCAGAAACTCCGATTGCGTGATTACTCCGTAAATAATGCCACACTTCTGCTTCCCCAAGCGATTCTTTCCCTTATGACTAATGATCTCACTAACCATAATTTTCTTCATGTTATTTTTTCTGATTGCTCAGCTGGACATTCTTTCTCTGGGCTATCCTATCATCAAAAGGATAATCCACATTTCTATGAAACCAGTGGTCTCTGGAGTTTTCATCTAGCTGTATAAAAATTAAGAAAAAAATGTTAAGCAAATAAGACATATTTAACTTAAGTGTAAAATTGACATGTAAAATTTAAGAACCAGCTGTATAAGGGTATATAAGAAATAATGTCTGGGTCTGGAAACACAAATATAAACTGATTAACATTCCTTGTATTCAAAGCCCAGTTAAAGTAAGGGAGAAGCAGAACCACAAAGTCTATGAGAGAACAAAATGATCAGTGACATATTTTCATGTATTTATAAAACCAAATGTTTTTCCTGCGAGTATTGGCCGTGGTTATAAGAATGTTCTTGCTTCATAGATCATGAACATTTTTTATGTCATATGTGTAGATAGATAATTTACATGTAAAAGGGATTCACAGCATGTGTTCTGCCTAGAAATTCACTGGTGTTTGTAATTTTCCTGGTTGTACGTCATGAACAAAGCAGCCTCTTTTCTGCACATACATTAATCTCTCTGACAAAAATACGCTTTTTCTCCTTAAGTATACTTTGCCTATATATGCGTGTCTTCTTTCTAATGTTGTGTATGTGTTTATGTGTGTTCAGGGGAAATGAACTTTTTCTAACATTTATTCCATATTTCTAATTGATTACATAGTATTAAATTAGATAAAATTATACAGGTAAAGAGGTATCTGTACCTCAATTTCTTTCCTCTTTTTTTTTTTTTTTTTTTTGAGACAGGGTCTTGCTGTATAGTTCAGGCTGCCCCTGAACTAAATACATAGCCCAGTCTGGTCTTAAACTTGAGGCAATGCTCCTACCTCAGCCTCCCGAGTGCTGGGATTATAGGCATGCACCACCACTCCTGGCCTCTCAACTTCTTTAGTTCCTTGGTATCTTTACCTATTTCACATGAGGCCCCCAGACCTGCCTTTTTCCTTTCCATCCAATCATCTTTCACATCATTTTGCATATTCATTGAAGTAATATTTTTCATTCATTTTTGAGGGTGTTGTATGTATAAGTTTGTGTTCTTGATACTACTTACACTTTCCTTATTTATCCTCTGCCACATCCTTTTCGATAAGCATCATTCCCACTTTTGACTCAATCTTTGGGAAGTCTGAAGCTCCTTTCATTTGTGAGTTTGTCCAGCTTCGTCCTTGTCTCTGTGGCAGAATTCTGAGGCAAGCCTAAGTGTGGGAGGGAAAGAGAGTGCTCAATGTTATGGAGATGCATGGCAAATTGGTAGTCATAATATGACAAAGATCGCCTCCTAGGTTATTTATTAATGTAAAATTTTCTTTGTTGTCAGGAAATATTTCAACTATATAAGGAACTATTAATAGTATACATTCAGCTGGGTACTGATCTGATTTTTTGATGAATAACGTTTTCACATATTATAGGGTACGATATAATCTGATACAGATATGCAATTATAACGATCAAATGAGGGTAATTAGCATTTCCATATTTTGAAATATTAATTATTTCTATGTGCTGGGAAACTTCATACTCTTCTCTTTATTTTGAAATGCACCATAGATTGTTACTGATTTTATAGAACTATTAGAACATCAAAAGGTATTTTTTCCTCTGTGTTTGGTGCCTCTTACACAACTTCCTTTCATCTTCCTCTCTCCTTGCCTTGCCAGTCTGTAGTGATCAATATTCTACTCTTTTCTTTTATCAGCTCAGTCTTTGTTTTCCACAAATAAGTGAGAAAATGTGGTGTTCATCCTCTGTTTCTGACTTCTTTACTTAACATGCTGTCTTCTGGTTCTATCCACTTTGACCCAGATGACAGAATTTCATTTTTTTTTTTTTAAAGAGTAAAAGAAGGACAACAAAGCAGTAGGAGGAGTCACTAAATTACAGACAAAGTGGTAGGACGTTATCAATGGTTGTTATTTTACCTATTGGTATCTTCAAGATAGTTTCTCAAGAAAAACAAATAGACAAATAATAGTGAGTCACAGCCAGAAATGGCAGAAAATTATCAATGGTTGTTTTACTATACCCTGGTTTCTCCAAAGTGGTCTCTAGGGAAAACAAATAGCGCTATTCGTGAGTGATCAATCAAATAATCATTGACTATTCTCAATGGTTGTTGTTGAAAACACATAGTAACAAACATACATCGATTTACGAAATAGCATAGGAACAATACAAACATTACAGAGTTATGGACAGATTGGTAGGAAATCATCAATGGCTGCAGTTCATGTTGGCATCCTCAAAGTGGTTTCTCAGGAAAACAAAGATATGCAAGAAAGATCCAACAAGTAGTTACAGTCCAAGGGTTGCCAAAAATATTGGGTTACCTCTTCAGTGACTCCCCTCACTGAGGTGTGACGGCTGGATGGAAGGCCAGGGCTGAAAAAAAAGGACCCAAAGACCAGCACCAGTGTCCAGCAATGGCCTGTCCACTTTCTCCTCTATACTCATGATTTCGCGGGGCTCCTCCTTCTCCATGAAGGCGGTTCTTCAGAATCTGAATATGGGGCACCCATGTAATCCATGAAGTCTCGGTGCAGACCTCTCCGGAGCTCCATGCGCTCCTCCAACAAGCAGCCTGCACAGTCAGGGGAAGAATGGCCTTCAGGGGGTCTCCCCGGGTGTTGCGCAAGGTCCTCCTGGCTTCCAGCTCCCGAATGGCTCTCGCGTCTCTGGTCAGCTCGACCCCTGAGTGGTCGGGCGTCGGTACTCTCGTGTTCTCCGAGTCCTTGTTCACCAGCTGCTCCTCCTCTGACTCCGGGCCTTTCTGGCTGGCAAGGGCAGGGCCAAGAGCGCCCCACCCTGTGGCATGTTTTCCCAGAGATGCCTCCATGTCGGGATGGTTCACTCACGTCTCCTGGTGGGCCTGTTGTGTTTGTGCTTCTCTGTGGCCTGGCAGTTCTCGACTGCGCGGCAGCGGCCGGCCCAAGGGCAGGCGCCCATCTCCGCGCCCCTTCCCGAGTGCCTGCTGCCTGCCTTTCCAGGCGCCAGCCGCGCGGCCACTGGGAGGGACGCCTGCCAGGATTTCATTTTTATGGCTGACTATTACTCCATTGTGTGTGTATATTACATTTCTTTCATCCTTTTATTTGTCCTTGGAAGTCTTGGTTGACTCATATCTTGGTTATTACTATGAACTGTGTTGCCCTAAGCATGGGTGTGCAAATTTCTATTTTATACAATGACTTCATGTCCTTTAGATACATACCCAGAAGTGTGATTGCTGGATGGTATGGTCATGCTCTTTTTAGTTTTAAAAAGAATCTCCATCCTGAATTCCATATAGTGGCTGTCCTAATTTACACTGCCACCCATAGTATGTAAGAGTCCCCTTTTTATATATCCTTGTCATTTTTTTGTTACTTATTTTCTACTGGACATGAGCAATTTTAATTGGGATGAGGTGATATCTCATTGAGGTTTTCATTTGCATTTCCTTGGCTATTAGTGATAACAAACATTTTTTTTACACCTACTTGTTGGTCATCTGTCTGTTTTCTTTTAGAAATGCCTATTTAGATCACTTGCCCATTTCTGACTGGTTTGTTTTAGTTGATGACTGTGAATTCATTATATATTCTTGATATTACTTACTTTTCAAATGGACAGTTTACAAATATGTTCTTCCATTTTCAGTGGTATGTCTTTACTCTGCTGATTGTTCTCTTCGCCGTACAGAAATTTCTTAGTTTGATGTAAATCCATTTGTCTATTTTTACTTTTGTTGCTTATACTTTTGAGCTCATATTCAAAACACTCTGCATAGCATTTCTCTAAAGTTTTCTTCTAGTAGTTTTATGGTTTTTGGTGTTACATTTAAGTCTTCCCTCCATTTTGACTTTACTTGCAGTACAGTAGGGAAGAGGAATTTGCCTTCTTTCTTCTGCACAGTTTTGCCAGCACTATTTATTGCAGAAACTTTTTTCCCCTGCCAATGTGTGCTACTGAAGCCTTTGTGAAAACTCAGTTGGCTGCATGCTTGTGGATTAATGATTGCATTCTCATTCATTTTCCATTTGATTACTGGATTTTAACATGTGAACAGCTTCACACTAAAGTACTTTTAAAACAATGAAACCTTTATGAATATGACTCAATTTCTTGCCCAACAACTTACCCACAGAGGGCTCAGTTATAGGCCACTGACTCTCAAAAGCCAGGTACCCACATGAATGTTTAATCCATAACTCACAAGGCCTAAATCCTGCATATTCTGACAGCACTCACATAGTCCATCTTGCACTTGACTTTTCTGGCTTGGATGCCCACTTTGATTTCTGACACATACAAATTTATCATGCTAACTTCATGTTTGTCTCAGTATTCATTTTTTCCTAAAACTTTATTTTTGCTTAGAGTAAGAATGGGACCCACCTCATATTGGTATATACTATACTTTCAAAAATCTATTTTCTCTTAAGTAGGGATGGACAGATTGCAGAGTTTGAAGGAAAATTAAAGATACTTTGTTTCTTGAACATTAGCATTCTGAGTTTCTGAGCCATGAACAGCTTTATGAAACTGATTATTCCCTCCATGGCCTGAATTGCATAGGCAAGGACCAAGGACATGCTAGTCATTCATTACTAGAGCTCATACTCCATATAAGAAGTTAGTGTCTACTTTAATTTCCATTTATCAAAATTTGCTGGAATATTGTGGGTGTTTAGTAAATATTCATATTTATTATTGTTGGGGGAATTACATGTCTAGAACAAACACAATTAGTTTGTTCTTGGGACATTATATTCTATATAATTTCATGAGAAGAAACAAATGAACAAAATCAGGTAAAAAATAACTTACTGAAGTTTTTCTTCTGTCTTCCCCATCTCCAAGGACCCAGGTGTAGCCCTTGCCCAGAGAAATGGAAATGGCGTGGGGACAAATGTTACCAGTTCTACAGAGACAGTAAGAGTTGGCAGGGCTGTGAATACTTTTGCAATGCTGAGAACTCTACTATGCTGAAGATAAACACACAAGAAATTCTGGTAATGTCCTGAGTATTTTCAATGTTTGAAAGTGTATTGGTCAGCTTTCACTATGAGACAAAACAGCTGACATACATATTTTAAAGGAGGAAGGATTTATTTTGGCTTATGGTTTTTAGATATTTCAGTTCATGGTCGGCTGTCTCCAAGGCAGAAACATCAGGGCAAGAAGGCATGGTAGGGGAAATCTGTTTACCCTGTAGAAGATGGAGGCAGAGAGCTTGGGAAGAGCCAGAGAGGAACATGCCAGGGATCAAATACAGTCCCCACACTCACACCAACCCAGACACACACAGTGCTTTACTGATCTTCTAGGCCTGTCTCATGCCGGTCAAGTTCACAATCAACATTAACCATCAGTGAATGATTCTTTGAAAAGAAATCTTACATAAAAAAGGATAGGGAAATCCAGGCATGGTTGCACATGCCTATAATCTCAGCACTCAGGAGGCTGAGGCAGGAGGATCACGCAGAGTTCAAGGCCAGCCTACACTGTCTCAAAAAAAAAGAAAAGGAAAAAGAAAGATAGGTAAGAAATTTCTGATGAATCAAACTGACTGATTCATGTATTTTTCCACTTACTCCAGCTAAAGCTCAAGTCTTATTCCTGTTGCTTTGGGTGACTTACTGAAGTAGCTTAAAATAGCTCTGCTATCTACCAACACTACATAAACCTGAGTAATAACAACCCTTCAGATTATCCCTTCATTCAGTAAGAAAACTGGGAATGTTTTAATTTCCTTCCTCTTTTGATTTGGGTAGGGAGGGAGGGAACAATATTTATAAAGTGGTTAAAAAGTGAAATAACACATGCCTGCCCTTCCATTATAAAAATGAGAAAGCTATTAATTGAAAAAACATCCAATTATCTCTTTAGGGTAATCTGAAAACATACATCTAGTGCTTTCCGGAAGACTAGGCAAGGTAAATATGAGAATAAATGTAAGAGTTGACACGTCAAAAAGTGCATGGAATTAAAGTACACTATTGAAATGGTATGATTATCCCCTCTTGTATTATTTTGCTTTTGGCTTGAAGTCCTCCTTCAGTGTAATCATTACTTATTTATTATTATTTCTCTAGAAATAATAATAGCAGAAATTCTTCGTGTAGGGCAGATAATCAACAAATGGTTAAGACTACAGTTCACTATACAAATTGTCAACATCTTTCTAGTTACATCTTAATTCCATTTCCTAAAATCTTCATGAATGGTCCTTTGAACACCTATCATTGACTAACATAATATTTTTGCACTTTCTTTTAGGCTCAGTTTATTCGTGAAGGGAGGCATTTTTCATTTTTGTGTGTGTGTGTGTTGTTGTTGTTGTTGTTGTTTTGTTTTTTTTCCAGTACTGGGAATCAAACTCACGACCTTGCGCTTGCCTGGACACTGTGCCCAGCCCCAAGGGAGGCATTTTTCTTTTACTAGTGCTATATGCATTGGCATAGATCCTCCTAAGTTTTCTTATTCTCTTTGTTTTCTCTGATCTAGCCCATACTGGTGATTCAGGTATATGATTCACATACTACATGCACTGGTAGAAAATTTTCTTGTAAAAGCTATATGCTTATTTTCTCTCATGGACTTTATACATTTGTATATATTTAAATCATTTTCACATGATTTATTTCAGAACTTTTAATTTGAAAGGGCCCTTATTTAGGTAGAAGCAACATTTTCAAATACAGTTCTTTTCACAAAGCTACTCTATTGTCCTTTAGCAGTTTCACCTATAGTTTTAATACTTTTGGTGAATCAAGATGTACCAAAATTATACAGGTACGTGACAATTGCTAACACAAAGCACTTGTCCTAAAGAACTCACAGCACAGTGGCAAGAAAAGACATATAATGCTCAATTTGGAGAATTTCCGTGTTAACGATATGAGAAATACAGAATAAGACCAGGTAAAAAGGAGTAAATAACTTTTAAAATTTCAATATGGATATTAGAAAAATATTGTCACGTATTTCACTATAAATGTTTGCACAAACATACCTACCCATAAACTTGAAAATTTGAAAATCTCTCTCCCTCTTGTAAGAGGTCATCCTTCCAACTTCTTCTTTTACTTACTTTTTAATTAAAGTATAGTCGCTAGTGTTTTCTCATTAGCTTTCTCTAAAGCTAAAGATCTTCTCGTGTGCCTTTTCACAGGACTTTTCCATGCTTCAGAGCTACTCTGAGTTTTTCTACTCTTATTGGACAGGGCTCTCCCGCAATGGCAGTGGCAAGGCCTGGCTGTGGATGGATGGAACTCCTTATTCCTTTGAACTGTAAGCATTTAATAGAGAGAGTGTTGGAATTCAACACCTTGGTCTACAAGCATTCATCAAACATCTCCTTTGACTGGATACTGTGATGTTTGCAGGAGGCTGTCCGAAGATATCTGAGACAATGCTTGCTTGAATTTGATGCTTCAATTTGAATGGCTCATAAAATGACCAGGAAGACATATGTATTTCGTAAATGTCAAAGGCCAGTTCCCTGGCTGTTTTCAGCATGTGTATCTAAGAGTCACTGTGAATGAGGTAGAGATAGAGATGAGAGAGGAGGAGAGAGGGAGTAAGTGAGACAGAGGGGGGGAGGGGGAAGGGGGAGGAGCCAGAGACAGGATAAAACTTCTGATTTCTTAGCTTCTCCTACAGTGAAGGAAGAAACACATCTTTAAAAATATATTCACGGAGAGCAGCTACATGTTTTCCCCAGTAATCCTCTCTCACTCTGCAGAGTGCCTTTCTTTTTCTACTTCTACTTGGCCCACTCTGCACAATCTGTTTCTTTTCTTACTGTTAATAAATATGAATATTTAAAAACTACTGTAAAACACTACTTTTACTTATGATGGGAGCATTAGATGAAAGTATGCATGGAATTCTGTGAAATAGGAAAATGTAACTTTGTACCAAAATATGTTAATTTTAAAGGTATATTTGAACAGATACCTTTCTCCCTTACAGTAAAACATTTATTCTCCTAGGAGATAGAGCATATTCATGAAATCATTTGTATTTTATGGTTAAGTAAACTAAGCCACCAGAAAATATATATATATTTTAAAGTAGCAGTAAAATCATAGGACACATTGGAATTAGAACATGTATTTTTTTTCCCCCTCAGTACTGGGGGTTGAACTGACAGCCTTTGCACTGAGCTAAATGCTCAGCCTTTTAGTTTTTATTTTGATATAGGGTCTCATTAAGTCACTAAATTGCTCAGGTTGGTCTCAAACTTGGGCTTCTCTTATCTAAATTTCCTAATGTGCTAGGACTTCAGGACTGCACCACTGTACCTGAGTGTCTTTGTTTCATTTGTAAATACTTTTGGGTCACCAAAGAAGAAGATGGAAATTGAAGGGTTGAAAATAAAGAGCTCGGTGATCCCATCTTTGCAGGAAACTCATTCTACCACAGGAAGGCTTTGATGTACTTTATGGCTCCTTAATATTTCCTTTTAGAGATGATTAATTAACCTTTTTCCTTTTTTTAAGGTTCGAGATAATAATAGATGCCAGCAGTCTGAGAAACAGGGACTGTGTGACCATCCTCAATGGCAAGGCCTTCTCCAAAGACTGCAGAGAGCTGAGGCGGTGTGCATGTGAGAGGACGGCCGCAAGAGTGGATCCCGAGAAGCTGCTCTAGCTGCCCTGAGTCTCTGGGTGGGGACGCTCACCGTTCAGCTCCCACTCCAACCCAAAGGCCAGGCCGTGTGAGGCCAGCACAAGGGATTATGCAATGTGAGACACTGGAAGTGGAACATGTTCAGGAAAAGCAATTTCTTTTCTCCTGCTCAGGATCACCAGCCTTTCTGAGCTTGAGCTTTGGCACATATATACCAATCAGAAGTCTTGTTCATGGAGCACTGACTGGCCCCAGAAACCCATGAAGCTGTCATCTACCTTCTTGATTTGGAGATAAATTTTTAGTTTTCTTCCTTCTTAGCACCTGGTGTTACTGCCTTGTTTCCTTGTCTTCCGTTTGCTTAAAGAAGAACCTTACTGAAGTAGAAGAATTCAGTGGAAATGGTGTTGCTTGCTCCAGCAATCAGGTGGCCCAGGAGAAATTTGCAGACATTTACCATACTTGCTGCTGAGTATACAGCTAATTCTGTGTGTTCCCATTTTATACTTGTTCAGCCTCTCAGTAAGAGTCAATGTGCTTTGCCAGTGGCCAGCTGTCCAACTGAGATATCTCTCTTTATGAGATGTTAAATTCTTATAAATATACCTCTTTGTGCCCATGAAGATTCCAAGAACTGTTTCTTTTCCCTAGGAATTTATTTTCAGTAATGTCAATTAAATATTCCCAACTAAATTCTACATCAGAATCACTGCCTCTTCAAAGAGATTGAAGACAAGAAAGAGAAAAAGTCTCTCTTAATTGCACCTGGCATGGTTTGGGTTCAGTTGTCACTGCCTCCCATTTGATCCATGTTTATATTTTTCAGGTACTAAAGATTTAATAATAATAAATTAAATAATGTGAAGTATGTGTGGTTTTAGAATGGATCTGTGATTTGGGGGGAAATCCAGCATGGGAATGCATTTCAAAGTATAGTAATCATTATTCTGGTTGCTTGTGCCTTACTGAGGATTGTGAGAACTCTAGGACAATGTTGCCCATCTGGTTATTTGGGATAATGCATGTTTTCCTTAAAATACATAATATCTTTGAGGGCTGGGGATATAGCTCAGTGGCACAGTGCCTGCCTGGCAAGCACGGGGTTGCGAGTTTGATTCCTGGTACCAACAAATAAAAGAAAAAGTGGATTTCATAATATGGTTTGAACATTGTCTGAAAGGGAATTGTGTTTTGAGGGAAGAGCATGACTTTAACACATGGTCGATGAGCAAACTGAGTTGCAATAGACCGTGTGATTTCCACTCATTTCATGGAAAGTGCCGGAGAGGCCGTAACATGTGGTCTAGTAGCATTCTTCGTAAGATGACTATATTCACAACCATAATGAGGATCTTTGCAAATAATGTCATCACAGCCACTGACTTTGTTGGTTAAACATAAATCAGTTTTTAGGGTCTCATGTTAGGAAGGCGCTCCCATTATAATCACTTACTTCTAAGTGTTTCGGTTTCATTTTCAGTAAACATCTACCTCATAGTGAAACTGAATTATCAGTCGTGTGATCGATCCTTCTGTGTTCATTTTTGTAAGACTGTGTTTGGTAAGATTTCAATTTATCTAAAAGTACTTGCAGATTCTTCCTTGAGAATTTTTAAATGTAAATTCTGACTAGCAGGGAAATCCCTTTACCTTTGAACAAATTTTATGCTTGATTTATTGTGTCCTGACAAAAGAGCTGTATTTGTGTTCCACTAACTAGAGGTTCAGACTTTTTCGTCTGAGTTACCATTTGTTAAGTGAGATAAATGTGAAATTAGTGTCAATCTAGATTGCAAAGGCAAATGTAAGGAAAATTTAAAAATATTTAAAAGGATTTAATGACTCATTTTAAGTATGAAGAAGCACAAGTATGCATAAACAATCATGGAAACCTATACTCATGAAAAAATTACACAACAATGTCTACATTGTGGAGTAAAGGATATTATCAAATATTTTCTACAATGAGTGTAGATGCTCAGTGATAGCGGCTAATACAATAGTTATATAACATGGAATGAGGATTTGGCCTATTGTTAAATAACTTCTATTTAAGCCTTGCGGTTGCAGGAAGAAAACATGCTTAACACACAAAAGCCAAATGACTTCATGAACTAAATTATACAATGGGAACATAACAGGTATTTAAATTTTGATTCCTGGAATCTATGATCAGAGATGGATGACAAGTGCTTCCTTTAAAATTAAAGATCTATTATATTTTGCTTTTATTTTATTTTTTAGTTACTTTTGAAAAATTAATTTTATTGGTACACTTTAGATATACATAATGATCATATTCATCACAGAGAATTTGCACCTGTACATAGTATACCTTGATTCTTCTTTTTTCACCAACCTCCTCACTTCTCATCAACCTTTCTTCCCTCCTTTTTACAAAAGCTTTGTTCCATTTTTTCTTCTATTCTCTTTTTCTTCTTTTCCCTTCTTTCTTTCCCCCATCACCTCCTTTGTTCCCTTTCATACTTACACACTTTCTTCCTATTTCCCAATATCTATTACACATTTCTAGGTTAATGGACGCACCTTGAGACCATACTCTCAAGTGAAATGAATTGGACACACAATTAAACTATTTCATTGTTTCTCTGGCATGAGGGTAAATGAAGACAAATGCTTTCTAACTTTGAAGAATTCAGTTGCTTGGGGAGGACATGATCAATAGCAATCAGGCTCCAAATCTAGGACCTAAGGGAAAGTGTCATTTCAGATGGTAAGAAGAAAAAAAATACCATTTATCAGACATTCTTTTCTTGAACTTTGTCTTTAGCCTTAATCTGCCTGTTGGTACAATAAAACTCACAATATTAATTGCTTTATGAACAAACACTACAAAAGAACAGAAAGAGGGCATAGCATATTTTCTTCATATAGCTTTCAGAATTTTAAATATAGGAAGTAATCCTAAGTGAATGGAAATTTTTCATTTAAGTTTGAATTAAAATTTAAATATAGGAAATAATCATAAAATGAATTGAAACTATGTTGTGCTGAGAACAATTTGCAGTTGAGACTCAGGTGAAACACATGAATTGGTTTTGTGGCATCAGAAGACTTTCTCTTACAGGTTTTCCTGTGTGTAAATGATTCAGAAGAAATTGCAGGAGAAGTCACACAAGGAACAAACCCTTTCCTGGTAGAACTGACTTCCCCAGAGTACACAGTGAACCCTTTCTCTTCCTGAGGATATTAAACCAGCTCTCAGGACTTATCAACAGGAAGCAGCTCGTGAGCCCTGTAACAGCAGGACGTGCAAGAGGGGCAGTGGGGAGCTTTTATTTGTGGGATGTGAGCAGACTATTGACCATGTACAAGAGTTTAACAGTGTGTTTCAGGGCCAGGCTTAAGGCTTGGAAACTGAATCCTCTGTAAAAGGATTCTTGAAATATTGAAGGATTCAAAAAGAGCACAAGATTATTTTAGTGCGCATGACTCATACAATACTCACTGTACAAAGATATTTTCAGACTAATACATATTGTTATCCTATTGTCATTCCAATGTCTTTACACCTCAAAGCCTCTTTGCATATGTGAAACAGTTATTATTTTCATTTCTTTTTTCTTAAAGCTCACTTAAAATTCAATGACATGGACCAAAAATATCCAGTTAAGGATAAAAAACTGATTATCTGCCTTTAAAAAACCTTGCCATCCTGGGTCAAAGGCAACCTGCAGGGAAAACTGTCTTATCCATAACATCTGTGTGGAAGCAGCTTTATTGCTGAGGAAATTTATAGGAGTTCCCATCAGCTGTACTGCAGATAAAATTGTAACTTGAAAATACAGCATGTATACTGGCTGGGTAACAACAGATAGAGGATGTTTACCTTTTCTTTCATTGTATTTTGTTAAAGAATTGTAAGTGCTTCCTATCCTTTCTCTAAACATAGCTGCATGACGATACTTTGAAGAATCGTAAGGACAAACAGTCTTTACTACTAAAAACTGCTGTTGTTTCCTCCTTTATTCTAGGTTATTGTATTTAGCTCCCAGCTGTGAAAACCAAACACAGGAGATAACTTATATTGTTTTTTGATTTTGTTTTATTTTGAGGGGGGACTATTTTACATGGTAAGGAACAGCAGAAAACTAAAGACATTTGTTTTGTTGATGCCATTTAAACTCCAAGTCCTAGGTAAATAAAAAGTAACAAAACAAAGGCATCGTCTTCCCATTCTTACAGTACTTTGCATATGGCAAAGGGACATTTAGGCAAAAATATTTATTGTTTCATTTACATGATCTGCTGCCTTAGTGAAATATGACTTTGTGTTTATATAAGTAGTGCCTTTATTTTAAGGAAGAAGAAATGATAACCCAGTATATCTCAGCAATTTCTTGTGAGAAATGAAGGATTAAATAAAATTATATTGACTTTAGCAAATATCTACTGAGGACTCAGGATTGCTGAGGTGTCACGCTACTTGTAGTATGTAGTGGAAAACATAACAGTAAGTGAATTTTTCCTTCCTATAGATGATAAAATACTTCCATATCAATTGTCTCTTAGAATGAAGATGCTCTGTTTGAAGGATCCTACAGTCCATGCACAGGTATTGTTGGAAGATTTATTTGAGGAGGACTCTCCAACTTTAAAACAGATTGCTGACAATTTACATAAAAATGTTACCTTCTCAATCTCCCCACAAAGTAAGCAGAAATAGGGATCTGTGTTTGCCTGGAATATAGGAGTCAGCTTGATTTCTAGAGATGATTAATGATTCCAGATAAGAATCGCAAGCGCTGATAAAGTGCCCCATTATACACAAGACATCATCTCAGCAACTTACATATATCTGATTTAATCCTCAAACAGACTTTGAAGTAATTACTATTATTATTTTATAATGTGGAAATTGGGGTGCTGAGAAATGCAGTGGTGGGCTATTCACTTTGGGGGTACAGACGATGAGCCCTTTGATTTGACAGGGAAAGAGATGGCCCGTCAGGCCCAGAAGGAAGCTCACAGCTGTCCTTCCCTGTGGGTCATGCTGGGACTGGTCTCCCAAGTATCATTTCCACTTTTATGATGTTTTCAATGTTCACTTCTCCTGCGGGACTCTGCGGTCCTAAAAACAGTCTGAGATTGCAAACAGAAACCTCCTCTCTTTGCAGTTTGGAAACTCCTATCTGTGACTTCTCACTCTGCCAGTCCGATAAAGTAATGCCTGCAAGCTTAGAAAGCACACAGAAAGACCTGGCAGACAATAAGTTTAGATGGTCAATTTTATTTACTTATTTATTTATTCGAGACTTCTTTTAAAAGTGTTGGGTGTGGGGAGATTATCTGTTTTCTTTACATTGTTCTCAGTGTAACAGGATTGGGTCCTTTGTAACTCTAAATCAATTTTATTCTTGGCAATTTGAATAATATTAATTGAAACCTTGAAAAGTATTGACAAACGTTACCAAGTATAAATACAAAAGCATGTTTTGAGTCCCCAAAAGCTGGCTTCATAGCTCCCGCAAATATCAGCTTACTTCTGTATTTGCTGTTAGTTTTTCTGTGTGTGTGTGGCAGGTTTTCCAAGTGCTTTTGGAGGCATCCCTTTGAACAACTGCCTTCAGACACACAATCTTAATGCTTCCTTCTCACAGATGAAGTATTTCCAATTGCTGCAACTAGCAGAGAAAAGGGAATTATCTCTGAGGTATCCGCAGACCTGGCTAATCGACTGGGCTGTCTTTATTGGTAACCTGGAAAGGGAAGCAAGAGTATTTGAGTTTAGAGCTGAGGTGATGTCCTTGAAGGAGATTCATGCATGATGCTCCTTGTTTGGTTCATTTTGTTTTAAGGTGGTGCCCTCCTATGTTGTTATCTTCTTTGTTCAATAATAGCTATTTTTGTCTCAAGAAAAATGTTACTGTAACAAGTAGCTTATAATGCAAGCAAAATACATGTACGCAATGATAGATAATAACAAATATCTCTCCTGACTCTTGATTCACTTGATTCTACTCATCAGTTTTTCTAGTTTTCAGCCGAAATGCTTAGTATGGAAATTTCTTAATAACTATTACAATTTCTTTGTCTTAGTGGGCTCTAAGCATGAAGTGATAGAAGAAAGTGCACTTCGCAATTACATTATGTTGTTCACTCAGACATAAATTGTCTAGAGTACAATAGTAAGAGAGGGTTGAGGGGCTGAAGATTTAGAAGCTGTGAAGTTTCCTTTCCATTATATTAGCATTGACTCCAGATAAGAACCTGTAAAACCTGTAAAAAATAAAATAAATGTTTGAATTCTCTTATTTTTCCAGTTGTCCTTGTAATATCTCTCTTGGACTTACAGTTCAGGAGGAGGAGAGGAGCCATCTTGCCAAAGCCAAGGTCCGCTAACTCCATCCTGAGACAATCCCACCCAGTACTCAGAGCTGGCTTTGACTTTCTGCAAGCTGCTGCTGATAAAATCCTGTAAGAAACAAACCCTGAACTGTGAACAGAAAGAAATAGTAAACAAGACCTTTCTATTTCTGAAATAGAAAGCCTGAAATTTTGCTAGCCAGAAAATAGTGGGAACTTGAATGCTGCAGAAAGAGATGGTATTTAAAAAGTGGGGATATATTTTAGAGACTTTTTCTTATTTCAGTATGATCATTGTGGTGTTAACAACAATGGAGAAAATGTATCTGATATCAATGTAGTTTTTAATAAATGCAGAGTCTAACAGCTAATATGTACGAAAAGAAGGTAAATAGATACACTGCTCTTAATCAGAAATAAAAACATCCTTAATATCCTACATCACAAACTTCATTCTCTCCCAGGGTACTTCAATATGGAAAATAGTTTAGGAGATTACATTACAGGGGAAATTTAATTATGACCATTTTTTTTTGGAAGAAACATTTCTAACTTGTATCATTAAATTTGTAAACAAAATAATTTTATGAACCCACAATTGTAAAAATTTAGCTCAAGTCTTCCTGGTTTACTGCACATCTTTAAGAAATTGTTTTCCCATTATTCTTTTAAGAATGAACTGGAACTAATTACTGAATATAGCAGCTATGTATTCTTCATATGGTCAAAAATGTGCAGCTGTGTACTCTAGTGCACTGTATTTATGGGTGGAATAATTTTAGGGAAACATCACATTGTTCACTTGTTAAGGTATTGATAAACTAGGTTTAATGCTGATTAAAAATTCATTTTTCAAATACTTATTTTTATTGGACCTGTTAACTCCATGGCATCACTTCAGTTTTTATATTTCTGTATTTTTTGCCTGATTACAATTGTTACAAATTATTGTATTTCCATAGGACATTGAAAGTTATTCATTTAAAAACATACAATCCTCATGTGGTGTAGCTGGAAGTAGATGAAAGTGTCACAGAATAGTATTCCTCTTACTCCCTCTCCCTTTCTAGGACATAAACCCAGTATCTTCCTGATTTCTGGAAACCTGACCTGTTTTTGTCTCTCCCACTAACAGGAAAATAAACCATACGTTTTACCTTGTATCCTTTAAACCTGTGTTTTAGTGAATATACTATTGTTACAGAATAATAAGGGATTCTATCTTATGAGATTCTTTCTTTTAATAAGAAACATGGTATTCACATTTTCCAAAAAAGACCATAAAACAGGGTTTACCATTTCTTCTTTGCTGTCTATTTGTAGAAGACTGGAGCCTTCCTTCAAACAATCCTCTTGACTGTACTGCCAAATCTTCCAGTTTTCAAAAACATAGTAACAACTTTCTCCATGCTGAATCCAATTGTGTGGACAAGGGCTGTGGTTATGGGCTTTGAATATAAATATATTACTTTATTATCATCATTGTAAAATATCGGTAGCCTATCTACACAGAATAACATGACTACACATGACTAACAATGTTCACATGTTCCCCATGGTACAGTACTTATCAATTCCAGTTTCTCCAAGGGTGAGTGAAATACAGTATATATAATAATTCCTACCTACCATTGTTCTCAAAGAGTTCGTTCAAGTTAAAGTTAATTTGGAGGCACATTAACACAAATCCCTCACCTTTTATAAAAATTGATCTGATTTTTCAACTTTCATCCATCCTCCTTTCCTTAAAATTACATCATTTACAGTCTGCTCATGTTTTTTTTTCTTTTATGCTATTTCATGTCTGTTAATCTTACCACCCCAATTTAAGATGAAACATACTGAACTATTAGGTGAGTTGAATAGTAAGCTACATATTGTGTGATTCCTCACAAAATTAAAACTAGAAATTCCACTTGAGCCAACTACTCCCCTTCTAGATATCTTCCTAAAACAATTAAAAGTCATTATATTATGAGGATACATGGATGCTCATATTTACAACAACACAATGTATAATAATTAAATGTTGGAAATGCCCTATCAGCAGAAAGTGAATAAAGAAAATGTGGTAATTATACACAACAGAGTATTACTCTGTCACATATAAGGGTAAACTATAGGTATTCATAGATAAATGGATGCATCTTGAATTCATAATATTTAGTAAAGTAAATCAGACACGTAGGCTTAAATATTGTGTAGTTTCTTTTATATAACAAACCCAAAATATAAATAAAGAGCAAAGTAAAAGATAGATAATAGGATATAGGGAGATTTTCTTCAAATGGGAAGGGAAACAAGAGGTAGATGGAGGGGGAGGAAAAAGAGGTGAAGGAAAGAGAATGGGAAAAAATAAAATAACCGAGAAAAAGGGAATCAGAGCTTTTACAAATGGGAAGGAGACCAAGGGTTGGACATAGAAATGAGAGGGGGAGGGGACAGAAAAGAAATTAAGATGTGCTATGTGCATGTACCAACTCCCTGGGATAAATGTAAACATGTATTACAAATATGTACTAATAAAGAATAAATAATTACAAAGAATGTAAATAAACAGTGTGCTTATTTTGGACTTTGATACAATTAAGATGTATTAAGTCTTAAGGAACTTGTTTTAAAACAAAAGGTAGTCACAAAAGAAAAGGGTATACTAGGGAGATAATAAGATGTTTACACTTAAAACTCAGCTTTATTTCACTTATAAATATGGTCTCTAGTTGCATCTATTTTTCTATAAAAGCTTCGCATTTATCTTTCTTTAAAGCTGAGTAGTACCCCATTGTATAAAATTTTTTTATCCATTTCTCGGTTGATGGACATTTGTGTTGTTTCCAAGGTCTAGCTATTAAAAATTGTGCTGCTATAAACATGGGTGCACATATACCGCTGTGGTATAATGTTTTTAATTCTTCTGGGAAAATACACAGAAGAGGAATATCTAGTTCTAATGGAACCTGTGATCCTAGTTTTTTGAGGAATCTGTACACTGATTTCCATAGTGGTTGCACTAGTGTACACTCCTACCAGCAGTGAAAGAGTAAATAAGATACAAAAGATACAATAGAATAGAGGAAGCTGCTCAAATGGAAAGAACAGCTGGAATGGGGGAAAGGAGAAAAGAAGGAAGGAATATCTATATATCCATACATCTATCTATATCTATATTTATATACTATCTATCTGTTTATATATCTACACACACACACAAATAGCTAAGATAATTGTACTACTAATTTCCATTAGTTCATTGAAAGGAACAGTTAGTGCTTATATTGTTTGATCAGTTTTGCATGCCTGTACCTGGTAATCTGAGCAACCACTTTGAAGATAACAATATGCAGTATAATAACTGTTGTTTATCTCCTGTCATTTTGTTTTGAAATTCTGTACTGTTTTAATGGTTTTATTACCTTTAAAATAAAAAAATTAAAAAATTTAAAGACAAAGGCTAAGGATGCAAAAAGGAACAAAAGAGCAAGACCACAAGGCTGTGGCACAGTTTATGGAGGGAAAGATGCTGAAAGTTCCAAAACTGTAGTTTTTAGAAAGTGGCCTTTTATTTAGGGCAAGATAGTTCCTTTGTAGTTTCCATTGTTCAGATGTTGAGTTATTTAAGGTTCTCAGTATTCCTTGGTTGGAATCCATGCTAATTGGTTACCTGAACATGGTGAAAGTTATAACGTAAGTAGCGTTAAAAATGGTACTCAAAGTGTTGGAGAGCATGTTGGATTCATAGGTCTCCAAATGGATACTATCTTGGGATTCAAGGTTGATGGCTCTGAGGCGGCTCTCACTCAAGCTCACGACAACATATTACACCTTGCATGCCTATATCCGGTAATATGAGCAACTACTTTGAAAATAATATGTAATGTAACAACCATCATTAATTTCCTATCACCTTGTTTTGAAATTCGATATCATTTTCATTGTTTTCTGTTGCTTCGTTTTTGCCTTTGTTTTTGTTTTTTTGGTTTTTTTCTTTAAAATAAAATTTATAAAAAGAAAATGTGTATTTATAAACACTGTTGAGCATACAATGATCCTTAAAACAAGTATTTGGGTAATTCTCAGTCAGAAGGAACTACGGTAGATCTTTGCATTTCTTATTGGTAAGTACATTATTCAAAAGATCGATTACAAGGATTTTAATGCTCTAAATCATATGTGTAAGTATCAATAAATGCTCATTAAGTAACCATGGAATACCTGACAGACAATATGACAGACTGAAATACTATTTTATGTTTAAAATGTTTGTAAGGGATATAAAAGATAAAACTGAGGAATTCTAACCTTAGAAACCTAACTTTATGGAGGCTTTTAAAAGAGCTGAATGTTGCATGTACTAGTAATTTTGTTCTTATTTCACAATCATCTTTCTGCTCAAAAAGTTATCTAAACTTGAATCTAAATTAATATCTAGATTAAATATAGTAGGAGAACCAGAGCTAGAATTAAAGATACACTTATAGTTTTTTTTTTTTTTGGTTTTTCTCCGGTACCGGGAACCGAACTCATGACCTTGCGCTTGCCAGGCAGGCGCTCTTGCCGCTGAGCTAAATCCCCAGCCCCTGCACTTATAGTTTGAGTGACTGGATAAAATAAAATATTGCTTTTTCAAATTTTACTTGCTAATATAAACACACATCTCACGTTGGCATTTTCCATTATATTTTGTTTTGTTTTAGTTTTTGGAACTTTGGTGTTTTCCATACACTATTTAAAATATGAGAAAGACTGCAGTGTGATTGACGTTACATCTCCTTACCAAAAAACCCTGACTAAAATTTTGCAGAGAATAAAATAGGTGGTGATGTTTCTTTTGAGGTACATGTTTAGCTTTCCATAGTAAAAACGGATATATATTAATTACCCGAACTGAAAGAGGGTTGGCAACATTTCCTCTGAAGGGCGTGGGTTTTGTTCCATTGTGTAAAGTTCCACAACTCTCTGTCTTGCCGGATGAGTTTTTCTTGTAGCTTCATTATGGTGGTGGATGCCTGGAACACTAAAGGCAATCACATTCTTCTTAAGAACATACTGAAATTTCACAACAAAGTAACCCTTAAACACAGACTAAGGAAAACTATAGGCTACTGATTATCTTTGAAACCTGAATTTGTATTATTTAAGCTTTTGTTTAAAGTTTACACTATTTAAGAATCAAGAGCTACAAACGATTCAGAGAAAAAGCCTCTCTTCCATCCCTTCTTTATTCACCCGGTTTCTCTCTTTCAGAGAGGAGAGGTTTACCAATATTTAACAGTTTTTCCCAAAGGCAATTTTAATTTTAGAAACCAGTTGATGTAAAGTTCTCTCTCTTCCCTGTATACAGGTGGTAATAATGTGCATATATAGTGCTGTGCCTCTTATTACTTAAAATATATTTTGGTCCTATTTCCATATCAGTACATACAGAGCTGTCTGTCATTCTTCCCTTATAAACATGCAGGATTCCACCATATGGCTGTATTGTGATTTCCTACAGAATTCTTCTATTGCCTTTTGGGTTTTTGTAATGTTTCTGTATTACAAAAATGAGTGCATAAAAAACCTTAGTTTTAACACATTTTACACGTGTGCAAGTATATTTTAAAAACAAGATTCTAGGTTAAAGTGTGCATTTAAATTATATTATAGATGACCAAATTGCCCTCCAAAAAAGCTATTGCACATGAGCTCAATATCGTCTGAATCTGCAGTTATCTTTATGTTTGAGACTGAAATTCTTTTCATATAATGAGTCAGATGCATTTTATTTAAAAGTGTAGGATTATATCCGCTATAATTTCTCACCATTGGACTTCTGGTCTTTTCCTTATTTTATTGTTTCATGAGAATTTATTTCAAGCAGGCTAGAATCAGTTAAGCAGTGTTTCTGGACTTGCACTTGGCACTAATTTTCAGATAAGGCCTGAGACACACTGGTTAACAGTGTAGCTTTGTAATCATGGCTATGAAAATTTGAGGGCTGAATTACACCAGCTTACCAGCATTGTTTATGGATGACAGTATGATAGATAATTTGTTCCTGGTAATGAGACGCTCAGAGAATTCTGCTGCCTCAGCAAAATTTTGACGCTGTGATCAGCAAAATATAAAAAATCCCCAGTGATACTCCATTTGGAGCTCTGTGGTATCAAGATATCCTAAGTACTTGCCTGTGATTCCCAATCCAAGATAGAATCGTGTCATGAAAGGGCACAGGGGAAGGGCACAGACCCCTGCTACTGAGACGGACTTCGGCAGGTAGTGTCTGTATTTAATGCTGTTGTTAAATTGTAGTCTTTTCTTGTAGTAAACCAGATTTACAAGGACTGCCATTTTGAGTTCTCTGAGTCTCCTTTAGCAACCAACCCTGTTATTGATACTGTTGATACACTTAAATATCGTGAAGGCAGAGTTTTATATGAAATGATCCCATTACATTTTCCCAGGGTTTTTTGGGAGGAGGGGTTGACTTTGTGATCATTTATTTCTCAAAGATCCAATATTTTGAGTCACTCTTAGAAAATGATGTGTGTGTGTGAGATTATACTTTGTAAGCACATTTTTAATTCATATTTTGATGTAGCTGGAATTTATTTTGTGCCAAATTATAAGATATGACCTCTACATTTCCCCCTAAATGTCTACACAGTTGTCACTTACTGAATAACTGCTCTTCCTATGCTCTTTTAGCTGCTTCCTTTAACACACTTTAAATTTCTAATAAACTACTTGGGCCTACTTCTGTTTTAATTATATTCAATATATCTGTTTATTTCTATGTCAGTATGACATGACCTAATTATTTTAGTTTCATGATTTATTTCTATTTTTGATATTTTTGTATTATTTTTCCCTTTCTGTCTTTTTTTTTTTTTTTTTGCTATTCTGGTTAGGCTGTTAGGCCAATTTCTTTTTTCATTGAAAACTTTTAGTGTCATCTGTTTGTTTCTTCTTTGTAAGAATCTTTTTTTTTTGTATTTTAAAAATTAAAAAACAAAACAACATTGAAGACAAAATCAAAACAACATAAAATCAACAGAAATGATACATGACCTCAAGACAAAATGACAGAACTTTACAATGGCTGCTGAATTACATACTGTTATCTTCAATGAAGTTGTTCAGTCCATTAGACATAAGAAGATTATAAGATTGATCAAACAATCAAAGACAGTAACAAGTAAAAAACAATAAAAATAATTTAAAAAAACATTGGAAATGATACAGAGCTTCACCATACAAAACTGTAGGAATTCAACAATGGTTCTTATACTGCATATTGTTTTCAGATCAGTCATTCTAATAACCAAATTCAAGTGTGTAAAACTGGTCAAGAAAAAAGAAAATTTTAAGCATTAACTGTTCCTCTCAATAAACTACAGACATCAGCAATATACTATTCCAGCTATCCTTATATATACATATAAATTTTGTTTTTAACTTTTAAAAAAACCAACATAACAAAAACAAACACATAAACAAAACAGCATAGAGAGCAATATAATGTTACAGAATTTCAAAACATGGTGATAGGATATCAACAATGGTTGTTATACTACACAATGTCATCTTCAAAATGGTTGCACATATAACCAGATACAGGCATGCAAGGTTGATCAAACACAATTATACAATTACACATTAACAGTTCCTTTCAATAAACCAACACATATTAGTAGTACAATTATCCTAGCTATCCTGTGTATATATATATGTATATACATATATTTTCTCTCTTCCTTCTTTGTTTTTCCTTTCCACTCCTTCATCCCAGTTGCCCCTTCCTATTTCACCAGTTTCTTTTCCCTTTCACAATATCTATGGTACCTTTCAGATTTTATTTACTCTTTTAGGTTCTTATAGTAGGGAGGAAATACAATGTTTACACATGTGAATCTGTTTTATTTCACTAATGAGTATGGCCTCTAGTTCCATCCGTTTACCTCTGGAAGCCTTTAGTTTATCTTTCTCTATAGCCAAATAATACTCCATTGTATAAAAATACCACATCTTGTTTATCCATTCCTCAATTAATGGACATTTGGGTTGTTTTCAAGATTTAGCTCTTACAAATTGTGCTGCTATAAACATAGGTGCACGTATATCACTGTGATATGATTTCAGTTCTTCTGGAAAAATACCCAGGAGGGGAATAGCTAGGTTGAATGGGATCATTAACCCTAGTTGACTGCGGAATCTCCAGACTGATTTCCACAGTGGCTGCACCAGTCTACACTCCCACCAACAGTGGAGAATGGTTCATTTTTTTCCACAGTCCCTCCAGCATTTGTCATGGGTTGATTTTTTGATGATAGCCATTCTTTCTGGGGTAAGATGGAATCTCAATGTTCTTTTAATTTGCATTTCTGGAATGACTAATGATGCTGAACATTTTTTCATGTATTTATTTGCCATTTGTATTTCTTCATGTGAGAAATGTGTGTTCATCTCAGATGACCATTTTTATATTGGGTCTTTGAATGTTGGGGGCCTGATTTTTAAAAAATTCTTTATATGTTATAGACGAGGGTCCTTTGTCTGAGGGACAGTTGGCTAAAATTTTTCCCCAATTCATGGGTTTTCTTTGTACCCTGTTGGTGATTTCTTTTGATGTGCAAAAACTTTTCATTAAGATGAGATCCCAGTTGTTGATTCTTTGAAGTATTTCCCATGCAGTTTGGTTTTTGTTCATGAACTCTCTGCCTACCCCTATGTCTTCAAGACTTCCACCTACTTTCTCTTCCATTAGATCTAGTGTTTCTGTTTTAATATTTAGCCATTTTGACTTTTTTTGGTGCATGGTGATAGGCTTGGGTCTTTAGGTCTGTGTCTTTTACTCTGAGTAACTACTTTGAAAATAATGATACCCTCTGTATTAACTATTGTTATTCTCTATTCTTTTGTCATGAAATTTTGCTCTTTTATTAAATTAAAGAAAATTCACACTGTGAAGTGTCTGCCTATTCCTACTTTACTAAATATTTTTTCTTAATATGAACATTGATTTTCTTTAGCTTATTGAATCTTATAGAACTGTTTGAATTTGTAGATTAATGTTTTTAATCAAATTTGGAAAAGTTTTATGTGAAATGTCATTATTTTTATCCATCTCTACTTCTACTTTTGGATCTGATAGTACACATAGGCTAATATTTCTCATGTATGTTCTGTTACATTGTCTTTTTATATTTTGTAATCTCTTCACAATGCTTTTTTTTCTTTCCATATATTATTTCTGCTTTATCTTCTACTTCATTAACTTACTCTTGAATTTAAAGGATTTATTAAATTCTTTTTAATGAAGGGTAAAGCAAGTTATTACTGTTGAAATTTGCTAAAAATTTATTAAAGTGTAATCCTAACCTGATTTCAAGGGTACAATTTAATACATACTCAAGAATTTATTCATGCAGTTAGACATCTAGCATCTAGATAATGAACACATCCATCACATAAGTTTCATGTATTTTTTTAAAGTAATTGTGGTTTCACTTGCAGCTGCAAGAAATAATAAAGAGCGATTTCATATACCCTTTTCCCAGTTTCCATCCAATAGTAACATCTTGCTAAATTATAATTCCATATTACAACCATGATATTGACATTGATATGAACAAAATACACAGCTTCTCCATCACCATGGTGTTGTCCTTGAATACGGCACACCCAGTCCCCTTCTGCCTACACCTTTCCTTCACACTAATATTTATCCTAATTCTATAATTTTGTCATTATAAATTATAATGACATTACAATGTACATGACATCTTGTAATTGGAAGTTTAAACTCAGAGTGAGTTTTCTTGAGATTTGTTTGTATAAATAAATATGTAATTCATATTTAGTGTTAAGTAGATTTTTTTATATGGGTTATTACAATTGTTTAATCATTCACCCACTAAAGGACATCTATGCAGTTTTCTAGTTTTGCTCATCAAAAATGAAGCTGCTATTTGCATGCATGTATAGGTCTTAGGGAAAGTAAATTGTCATTTCTTTGAGGGTAAATATTCAAAA